GGGGGGGGGGGGGTATAGAAGTGCCTCGCACTCCCCACGGGGGTGCGGGGGTGCATGTACCACCCTCCCCTGCGCCACCCGAAAAGCAAAAACGCGGGAACCGCCGTTCGGACCAACCCCACCGCAACGAAAATTCAACACACGATGACAAGTTAACCAGCACCGATAGTCTTCTGCCCTCCCGCATAAATACTGCAAGAACGCACAGAACGAAGGGAGGCCCAGTAAAGAACGCTCTGTCTCTACCGGCCCGCCTGTTCCAGGAAGGGCTTGGGACCATCGGCCATGCCGTGCTAGAAGCACGCGCCGAATCGAGGGAGCGGGGACAGGAGCGAAAACGAGCTTGCCCCGAGCCGTTACCGGTCCTTCTTGTTGGCACGCCGGGGGTCGGCTGCGAAAGGTGCACCAAAAGGAAACCCAGCAGTGTGCAGCGCGAACGATAGAGCCGGGGGCGGGGCATCAGCGGGCCGAATCGTGAGAGGAAACGGCAAACGGAAACAAGTACTGACGACGAGGGGCTGCGGTCCAATCGTTGCAAGCCACGGAGGCGTTAGTGAGGGTGCTCATATTGGTGAGAAAAAGGCCTGGGTATGCAAAATGGGGTTACCGCGGTAAGAAAATAGGGTATAACAAAGACGCGGTCTCCTCACTCCTCCGCTGTCAACCCCGTCGCGCTCACCTGGGCATCGCCTGCCGGCCTTCGCCCAGCAGCAGATGCAACTCCTCTGCACTGCCCTGTAGCGCGCCTACCCACACATTACCTTCATACACGCCACCTGATATCCGACCCTATTATTTCGTTCTGTCTATACACTGCGCGCGGCAAGTCCTGAACCCCAGTATTCGCCAAAGCGCACGTCCCCTCAACCGTACAACCTCTGCTGATACAATTAGAAGCACGTGCCTGTCTCCCTGCCCACTCTCACCTAGCTGCTCCTCCCCTGCGGAATCGGCGCGAAACACCCCCACGCCTGTGGCGCTGCCGCCCGAGGAACTGCGGCGGGTGGCGTTGTTCTGGGAGAAGTGGACCACTTCAGCCTAGAAAGCGAGAAAGAAAAAGAAAGACGCCGCGACGAGAATGCCATGGCAACGGTAAACCCCTTTAGAGCTAAATCGGCTTCCGGGGACACTTTTTGTCCCCATCTTCTTCGCCTGCGTTGCCTCGCCAAGAATGCCACGGTCTCCTCGTTTGCACTACTCGACAAGGGGGGGGTGCCGAGTACGTGGGACAACAACAGTCCAGTCTGACAGTCTGAATGCCTTGTAGAGTAGGGGAGTAGAGAGGGAACATGTCAGGCCGAAGCGCGGGACAATACCGCGGGTTCAACAGCGAAGTTGCAACCCGTCGGTCTACCCTTGAGTGGAAGGCGCGACTCGGGGCAAGCGTGGAATAAATACCTAGCCCACCGATGATAGGAGGCACCGGGCAACCTAGGGCCTGGGTTAGAAAGTCTCGCTTTCCCTCTAGAGGAATTTCTTGAAAGCCTCCTTTTCGTGCCCTGTTCAGAACACACGCTCCCTCCAGTTGCTGTCTACAACCTATATCAAATGTCCCCTCAATTTCGAGCGAGAGGGTTATTAGAAGAGAGGCGGCTTGGACGGGAAGTTCGCTTTGCGATAGCACCCAGGGATGGAACTGCCCGCGTCATCCAATCAGCAGGAGTCGTTCTCTCGTCCTTGTACTTCTCACAAATTTCGAAAGAACATTGAATTTCTGGGCCTCTCAAAAGGGGTTACAGGTTGGGCAACTTGCTTCAGCATGACCTCAGAAAGTGAACAACTTCGCTGTCTCCATACGTAAGACCGCATCGTCTTGACGCCGATCCGAAAGCGGTTCTGAGCTGCAAATACCACACTCTTCCGCCCTCTTGACCTGCAACCACAACCCGTGCAGGGGCGTCCCCTGGAGTGCGGCACTGGCTTAAGCATGTGCGTGTCCAGAATCAGGCACGGCCGTCATCTCTACTCAGACCATGGATCATCTTCCCCCACTGATATCACAGTCGGAGGTTTTCCGTATATCTGAACAAAAACAAAACAAAACAAGAAACGCGCACACAAGAACACTCAGCAGTTCGGGCACGCAAAGACCTTTCACCGACCAGGCGGGCGATTTGACGCACGTAGACATCAAGACCCAAAGTTCACGAAACGAAATGAGTCACGCCGCACCTGGTCATCTGCATCGTCATCGACGGAGCTCATCAGCGGCACCGAGCTGTACTCCGTAGTCTGGTCCGCCCGCCCAGGGTCCTTCATCTTCCACCGCACGGCCAACTCGTCCACCTTGCGACGAATGTCTGTGCGGAACCATTTTCACCCCCACACATTCGTTCATTGGTGGCGGCTCAAGCAGCGAGCGGCGTCCAGCACCAGAAAAC